TCGCATTGTTGGGGCAGAGTGCTGCCTCATGCCTCTGCTTGCAAGGACCTTACAATCTACATGCATCCGTGAGGGTAGACAGGAGTGAAGCCTCCCGGGTTCACATCTGCAGTGTCTCTATCACATGGGAACCAGAAGGCTGACACTGTGAGTGGGGCAAATTATGCAGTGTTCACTAAACACAGACCATTTTAGCCATCCTAATTAGGCACCAGTACAAAGAAGAAGTATCTTGAAGGTCAAAGAGGGATTCCCATTATGCCCCAGTACAAACCCTAGTCCAGGGGCTCCACAAGATAGGAGTTGTGCCCCGTGTTCTGTACAAGTCATCTCATCTAAATAATCACTCTCCTCCCTATGCTAGGATTTGCTTATGGGACCCCTGTCTGGCTAATCTTGCTTCAACTGCCTCAGTGTCATCCCAGTTGATCCGTGTTTAAATATTCTGCCTTAGACTCACAGCTAAGTCTCTCATTAGCTGCACCCACCTGAGATTGGGCTTTTCCTCAGTCTCCGTCCACAGGCTTCCGCCCATCTCACCCAGTTTCTCACTGGTCCAAAGCAGGTGCTTATTTTAGCAGTGGGCATATTCTCATTCCTCGTGACCAAAAGTTGTGACTTGTGGGAAGCAGAAATTTCTTTTGCTACCAGGTTTGGTATAAAGCAGGAACGTTTTCTCTAAGGCCAGATCGACTGTGCGTGGCCGAGTCCCTTGATTTCAGCGTTGTATATAGCGCTCCCTCTCAGAGCCTTGTCAGGGCTCCTGCATTGCTGGGCTCCTCTGAGTTATGCCACGTGCCTGGCTTTCTTCAACAGAAATAAAAAAGGCCACACCTTACGGATGAAAAGTGAAAAGCTAGACTGTGAGCCTCGAGCATAATCCTATGACACTGCGTTAGTGACAGGGGAGAGGACAAACATCCAGGGGTTCAGGGCTAACATGAGTTTGGGGGCATACATTCAGTCCATAACAATACACATAGAGTCAGTTATTCATGGACCTAAGAGCATAGGAAGCCAGAACTTGGATGCTGTCAGATGGGCCAAATGCTCCGGTCACTTAGAGGGCATATTTCGCTCAAGTACTTGTGTCCTTTAAAGCTACTTGCCTACTTTTGGACAAAATGGACAGAAGAGAGAAAGTTAATTCTTAAGCAGTAGGGTTAGTGACATTTGTGCAAACAGGGACTAGGACTGAGAAACAAGTTTTGAGCCATGTCCTCTCTTACCAACCTGATGAGCCGTCATTGCTGAGAACAGGAACAGCAGTGAGGTTGTCCAGTTGGTGCCAAAGTCATTGCAGTTTTTGCGTTGTTGAAATCTGCCATTCGATATTGAACACATTCTTAAACGTGGTTATGTTATATATAACTTTAATTTGCATTTCTTGCTTTTTGTTGTTTTGCTAATGACCTATGACTTCATTTCCTATTTATTTTGGACCACAGAAGTTAGACAAAGAAACTTGAGTGATTTTCTTATTCAAGTTTGAAACGGGTTGTGCAGGACCAACGCCTGACTGCACATCTCACAACCAAGGCTTCCAAAGGTGAAGGAATTGGGCTACAAAGTTCTGCCTCATCTGCCACGTTCCCCTGACCGCTCACCAACTGACTACCCCTTCTTCAAGCATCTTGATGATTTTTTACAGGAAAAACACTTCAACAGCAACAAAAAAAATGCTTTCACAACCAGCGGGATGCAGAAAATGCTTTCCAAGAGTTCATCAAATCCCGAAGCATGGATTCTTACACTACAGGAATAAATAAACTTAATTCTCGTTGGCAATAACATGTTGATTACAATGGTTCCTATTTTGATTAATAAAGATGTGTTTGATCCGAGTTATCATGATTTAAAATTCATGGTCCAAAACCACAATTACTTTTCCATCAACCTAATAAGCTGCTCCTGTTTAAAATGTAAAACTAGTCATTCCACATGTTTTAAATTCAAAACAAACTGTCTGACCTGGCAACTCCTACATCGAAAATGTAAGCTCCTGGAGTAATGGACTATTCAAGTACAAAAGTCACATGTAAGAAATTTCTAATTAAACATGTGCGTCTCTGAATGTATCTATGAAACACCAAATGTGGATGTTTATTATACAGTCTTACACCACCCATTAGGACTGGTTTTTCTTGGCCCCTGAGCCAGTGATGTGTTAGTAGGAGTTCAATGAAGCACTCTTGATAATTGCAAAAAGTTGTGAACAATTGAATGTCCACCAGCAGAGGAATAGTTGAACAAATTACGCACACCCAGGTGATAGGATATCACATTGTTTCAAAGAATGAGGTGGGTCTCTAGGTCCTGGGAAAATGGGACACATTACGTGAAATGTTATGAGATATAACGTGTAAAATAACAGAACTTTTCGTAAACCAGCAAATAGATCATAACTCAAAAAATGTGGAAGTGTGCATGTGGCTGATTGTCCAACTAAGGAAAATGTCCAAATTAAAGGAATCATACAAGGTAAGTTGTTCACGGTGGGTGGCTACATCCGACAATTAGGGAGAAGGGTGACCTGGGGAAGATCTTACTTTGAACAATTTCTTTTTAAAAGTAGTTGACATCTGTTTTTTACCTTTTCTTTTTTCAGTATTTTTATATTTAAAAAGTACTTGTAAAAACTGTCAACATTTTTGGATACACAGTTAAATCAGACAAGCACTGAGTGAACCGCAGACTTCAAGTCCCTCTTAGGAAGTGTGTCAAGCTCATTTACCATGTGACTGTTGAGTAAGACATTCATCCCTCTGAAGCTCAACAGTTGTCATCCTATAAACTGGGGAGAATTCCTATTTTTTCTCCTACTACTATTAAGCCCCCCAAATTAAAATGTAAACAAGATCAGAGGCAAAAAATACTTGATACTGAAGAGCAATGCAAGTCTGTCAGGCTGTGGAAGTACAATTTATCTGTAAACTGGAATAAAAACAATTATATTTAATGTTCCTTTTAATACTGGAGCTCCCGTTTTTACTAAGGAGGTGTGTGTCTTCTCCAGTAAAGGCTTTTGGCAGTACCAGGGCTGGCCTGGCTCCAGTTCAAACACTTCACTTAGGACAAGTGTAAGGTGATCTGGCCTTGGCGTCTCAGCTCATGAGCTGAAAGGGTCACTTCTTCTAATGTAGCTGATACTTTTGCCTTCCTACCATTTCCTGCTTCAGAGGGCAGAAACATCTACATGATACATGGAGTTCTCTGTCCCATTTCATGGTGGGATACACAGTCAGCTGTTAGTGGGTTTTTATTACAAGTCATTCCTGGCTATCCAAAAAATACCCAGATGGCTGGTGGCTAACCGAACAAATAGTTCTACCCACTTCAATAATGGCTATCACACGATTCATAAGGCAGGATTTTAACCAGTGAACCTAAAACTAAGGGAGAATATCTCATTAATGGTGGTGGACCAGAAAACCATCTTGAGCAGAAACGCCAATTCTAAAATTCATGTTATTCCACCCTATGCATGCATCAGCTGGTCTTACAGAGTCAAAATTATTAAAATGTTACATGCTACATTATTTTTCTTCCCGCTTTACTGAGGTATAACCTAGATCTTAGATATAACTACCACCTTAATTAAGACATAGAAAATTTTCATCACCCTCCCCCCCCCCAAAAAAAATTACCTCTTGACCCTTTGCAGTCAATTCCTTTGGCCGAGTTCCTACCAATTGAGTTTTCTAGAATTTTGTATTAATGGGTGACATACAATCTTTTGTGTCTGGCTTCTTTAGCATAATGCTTTGAGATTCATTCATGTTGTTTAGAGTACCAGCAGTTCAGCCCTTTTTACTGCTGAGAGGTATTCATAGTATGGAATGTATTGCAGTTTGTAGCCACTATAAATAACACTGGGAACACTTGCATAGAAATCTTCATATGGCCATATGGGTAAACCTACATCAGACACGCTGCCCCAATTCAGAGTTATAAGATGGCTGGGATTTCTCTTGGTGATAGACTTGTGGAGTAAAACAGCTAGACGGAAGGCATGTGTTTCACATTTTAAGAAACTGCCAGGCTAGTTTCCAAAGTAGCCATGGTGCATGAAGTTCTCCTGGCTCTAGTCTCACCCACATTTGGTCTTATCCGGCTTAAATTTTAGCCATTTAAATGGCATGCAGTAGTTCACCACTATGGTTTTTATTTACATTTCCCTGACGACTAATGATGTTGCGCATCTTTTCACAGGCTTATTGGCTATTTATACATCTTCTAGGATTCTAGATGGAAGGAGGAAACTGGGAATGTAAGACAAGGAAGACCAGCAGAAGCTTAGCTTCAGTGGAGGAGAGATCTCATACCTCCCTAAAAAATAAGACAGATCCTCGTATCTCAAGTAACTATTTAAAACCACGATTTTATAACTGATTACAGTAACATGTATCATGGCAAAAATACGTTTTTCATTGTTTCCTACTATTCCTGTTCCACTGATACCAACATTTGTCATTTTAACTCTTCCAGCAGAAGAGATCTCATTTACATGTACTCTATCTCAGAGTAACAGAGTAAAAAATACCCCTGACTCTCAAATATTTTGAAGACTTGTGCTACAGGGTTTTCTTTTACTTTAAAATGACTTTAGAAACTGTAACTATTACTACATAATTGATTCTTAAACATTTTCTAAACATGCTGCTTTTTGTTTCCAAATGATGAATACACGTCTAATGGAGAACATGAGAACTAAAACCCTTCATTATCTCATACTCACGCAACATGCACACTCATCAATTATCTTGTTTTATCAATAAGGAAAAGAAAGGGATCCTGTTATCAGGAGTAATCAGTTTAGTGTGACCCGCTGAGGTCTGAGGAACACTTCAGACTTTCAGAACTGCCCTGCAGGCTGCTGGTGCATTTCTCCCGCACTCCACTGGGTCTCTACCCAACAGGGCAGCTCCACACAGATACCATGTTTACGTATCGCACAAGCTGGCCTGATGCAGGGAGAAGGTGCTCTACCCACAGAAACAGACAGTGCTTTCTATCTGACTTTATTGAACATTAAAGCACAAACGGATGTTCCCTGTGGAGGACTAAAGGACACCAGGGATGGAGAAAGGGACACTTGGGAACAGAATCACACAACAGAGATCCGTCTTCACAAAAAGGGCTCGATATTGATTTCCAGAGAGGAGCAGGGCATGGTCAGCTCGAATTTGGTGATAACATCAGGATGAAGGACCCCAAGCTTTCCGATGCTTTGACCCTTGGCAAAGATCTCAGCACATCGCCCAGGGAAGAAAGTAGGGCCTGGAAAAAAAAAAAGAAGTGAGAGAAAAATCAATGTTTCTTCTGCTAAAAATGTCAATAGACATTTAAGGATAAGAGCCCACTAGTCTACTTTTAAAATACTATTCTTTAAACCACAGGCTATGAAAACAGAGTGCTTCCTTACACTTTCTAGGACATGAAAGAAGCATTTGCTATCACACCAAGAACTCCTGCAAGGAAAAAATGAGAGGCAAATATGAAATTAAGGGCCCAGTGTTTTTGATTACAGGAGTCCAAGCAGGAAGGATGAAGTACAAGAGCCTGAAGGAGCACAGGCGGGAGAAGTCTTAGGGTAATTCTGTCCACACTTGGAACTGGTCCTAAAAAGGACAAAGGAAAGAGAATGAAACGTCAGACTGACGACCTTACATGGGAAGAACCTGTTTTAAACAGGTTCTTCCTTAGCGATATTTGGTGGATAAGAAGTGTATACTGCGTTCATTGGCTCTGCACAACGCCACTCTTTTCCACCTTATTACACAGAGAAACCCGAGCTGTACTGTCATCCGCAGGCCCGAGGGAACTGCACGTCTGATTACAGCCCCTGCGAGCAGAGCACGCCCCACGTTCCTGCCTGAAAAAAGCTTTCTAAGCAGTTTCAGAGCATCCACTGTAAAACCACAGCAAAGGCCAGCCCCACACAAGTCTGGGTTGATCCCTCATTTACTTCAAGACAGCAGAAAGTTGTCTCTTCATCTGGGTGCCAATGTACTGATACGGCTTACCAAACCAGTAACAGCTTTTGAGGTTTAAAGAACAAAAAACAAACAAACACATAGGCCTCCTCTATATTCACTAAATTGCCAATGCCACAGAAGTTTATCAATGCTCTGTTCTCTACTGAGGTTTAAAAATATGTTGATTCATTTCTCCCACCACTAACTTGAAAAGGGATCAGGCCTGCAGCTTCTGACTGATTCAACCGAGATGTTTACTGGCATGAACTATAAATACCCAGCAGAGCAGGGCCTCCAGCCTGCCGCTTCAGAGTGGCTACATTATTGATGAAAGAGCAAACGGCTGTGTTCAAGGTCAGTACCATTAAGACACACAGAATTAGGCGGGGGGCGGGGGACCTGCTACTGTCAAGTTAGTGCCATAGAGACACAGGACAGTGACACGTATCTCCTGATAAGCATAGAAGGATGTTTGTTGATATTTCTGGAGAAAGGCCTGGAAGACATTTTAGATTCCCATTCTTAAACCATCCTAAAGCAACCTGGTGAAAATATAAGGTGGCCTGTTTTCACATCCCTCCAAACTAAATAATTCTGCATCACCGTCTACTAAAGCAAGAATTTCAGTGAACTGCATTTGACTGTTTGGTTCTCTGCACTAACCCACACGTGGGGAGAGGGGCAGGGAGTGGAATCAAATAACGTAACGCAGAAGCCACATTGGATTGACGAGGTCAAGCCTTAGTTTGATATGAATATGTGCATTACTAAATCTGGGTAAAGATGGTGCATTTTAATTCCATCAAAATGAAAACCTAACTTAAAAATCAAAACTACCTTCCCTTGTACCCCTCAAAAACAAAAGGCTTCAAATGACAAATAAGTGAACTTTGCACAGTGTGGATGGAAACCTGAAGGGACTGCTGAGAATCTTTTAGTCCATCCCTCCAGTGCCCCTTTATGTGGAACTGCATCTGAATACACCTAAGCGGCACTATCTGGGGGGGGGAAAGACTATTTTTAAAGGCCTCTCAGAAAGGAAATGTTCCAGATCTTCCCTGATAACCTTGCTATGTTTAAGAATCCTTACTATATCAAAATCCTTCCCTTTATCTATCTTCAATTCCTATTTGATTTGATTCACTTTTAGTGACGCATATAACTAAACTATTTTAGAATCTAAGCCAGATGTGCCGATTCTGACAATGTTAGCAAAATAAAGCCTAACAGATAAGAGCTTAGAATTTTTACTTCATAAAACAACATTTTGAATCTCCACTTTATAGCAAAATTCATTGATATTCTTCAGTTGCCAGCTCTACCTCTGTCCAGAAGTTTAGGTCAAACTTGCTTTAGTTCATTAGCCAGCTGGGTAGTTGGTCAAATAGAAATGTTTGTATCACTGGATACAATTTTCCCTCTTTCCAAAGAAAAGCAAAGAGAACTGAAATTCACAGTCTGCTTTATTTAAAACCTATCCCAGTATATAAGTATTGTAAATCAAAAGCTTTCAGCCAAGCACATGGACTCATGCGAGTCATCCTAGACTGCCCTGAGGTCAGAGGCCATCACTGCACCCCAGCGGAGCAGGCACCACAGAAGTCTCTGCCCTTTCATCTAATACTAATCCTCCTGACCCATCTACACATAAGCCAAATAATGGGATTTCTGTATGAACGCCACTTTAGTGAAAACTGCGCACTTTAACTTGTGATGACAATTTTAACTTTTCTTGCTATTTTTCTTTTTTACCATTTTTAACGAGGTCAGATGGTGTCTGGACTGTCGCCTGAGCAGTGACTTAGGAATTCACATTTGAGTTATGTGAGGACTTTTGTTTGTCTGTGGTGTCAGATATCACAAAAATTTTGCCCATGGGCTTTTGTTAGTGATTATGTATTTAGTGTATGCCACAAGACTGCTCTTCTTCCAATGTGGCCAAGAGAAGTCAAAAGGTTGGACACCCCTGAATAAACATGATTTTCTTAATGACTCCAGTTCAGCAAGGCTGAAGTTCGGTCCTACATGTACACAAAGGGCCTTCACGTTATCAAGGGAGATAACAGAGAGAACCTAATTTTTGTGCCACTTGACTGATGTTACCTATATACTGTAACAGAGATAATGAAGGAATTTTTTTGTGATTATTTTTTTAAAAAACTCCGTTGCCTGGGTTAGGGTGCACTTGTACCATGATGGCACACTGCAACCTCAAACTCTTGGGCTCAAGTGATCCTCCTGCCTCGGCCTCCTAGATGTTAGGATTCTAGGCTTGCGGCACCCAGACTGGCCTACAGTAATGTTTTAAAGTATTAGACCAAACTTTTCAGTTTTGTCAGACCAAGTACAGGCATGAGCCACTGCACCAACCTAAAGGAAAATTAAAAATTACTACAACACAATCATTTCTTACTGCATTAAAAAACTTTTATGGTTCAAACCAAGCTGTACGGCAGAAGTGAATCACTTCAAAGGACATAGAGAGGATGACTGCTTCCCTAACAAAACAAAAGGGCACACCCAACTAAGACAGAGATCAGGCCCCAGAGCTCAAAGGTGAGAACACCTCTCCACTGTTGGCAGAAAGGGCATCGAGCTCAGTGACACAAGCAGCTCAACGCCACCATAATGCTCCAGCCAGAACTACACATCTTAAATAATGTAAAGAGTATTTCCAGAAAGAAAAGTTATATCTGAATGGAACAGAACACACAACTAGGCTTATGAAATATCAGAGGTGGGTAGCAGCCAAAGGCTCCTTTTACTGCATCAACAAACAACAGATTTATGAGGGGCAGCACGCTGTATCTAGAGACGTAAGTTGCCAATCCAAGGAAAACCACGCTGCCTTGTGAATGGGAATTCTAAAACTCAAAGTCCATAAAGTACATTAGGTTTCCTTTTACTCAGGTATTTAAGCCCTAACAGAGTTCCTTGGCTTACTGGTATTTCAAGATATATAAATACTACAATTTTCAACCTGTACCCCAAATGCTCCCCAGCAAAAAGCCTCTGAAGCCCACTTTCCCACCCAGTTCCTTACACTGATGAAACTCTCAGCTTTGCTGGTATTTGTCACAGTAAAATGGCTCCCAACGTAAAGCAGATTTTGAGAGACTAGTCTTCTCTGTTGAAGTACATGTGGAAGCCCAGACAAAAGAAGCATCAGTTAAGCACAAATAAGAATTTAATTTCCCAAACCTAGTGGGGTGTAAGTAAGTCCCTTAATTAAAGCCTTTGTAACATCTCCTTGAGGTCTGTAATTGTCTCTGTGCTCCAGTGGCCGGACCCCTCTGAGGACCTTGGGGGTAATTCCTGGGCTCACAATCCAGCCTGGCACCTAGTTGTTAGCACGTTTTCTGGCTAATTGACCATCAAAGCCTTTGTGAGCTCCCTTTCTTGCTGGTTGCCAAACACCTTTCACAGTTTCTTTTTTGCCCAATTTTTTTTTTAGAGTAATATTATAGGCCCCAAGTTTGAGTACCCTTTACACACAGATTCACTCCTGTAATTTATGAAGCATCGGAAGTAAAAGCTTAAGGTGGTAATTGAGCAGAACCCCCCATTTTGAAACCCGGGGCAGGGTGATGAGGCGAGGGGCTCTGGACTCCTGATTGGCTACATTCACCTCCTTCCCCGGGGAGTTCACTGGACCATCTGCAAAAGGAATCATCTCCTCAGGCAATATTACTCTTCTCTTTCTTTACATTACTGATACATATTTGGGGTTCGACTCCACATATTATAAATACTTAACCACCCAAACTCTATACGATAAAAAAGGTAAGAATGAAATCAAAAGGGGGGCAGGGAATATTGGAAAGGGAATGTCCACAAATCATATATATTGTGGCAGATAACTGCTACTACCACTGGGAGTTTGATTAAGCTTCCAAACTCAAGTATGAAATATAAAATGCAGAATTATACAGATATTGTAAGCCATTGGGCAACCAAACATACTTTAAATCTGTCTTAAAAGACTGATAGGGACTATGGAGTGAGAGGAGGAGGAATCATTCACCAGGCTGCCTCTAGGACTGGCACCTACCCTGGCCCTTCCCCTCCCCGCAAAGGACAAAAAAAAAAATCCCTCGTGTTCCATTCTGGAGTAAAACTGGCAGGGTGGGTGACAAGGGAAAGAGTGGGGTGAAGCTGAAACCTCTCCTCCTACAGAGGAACTTTCCCCTGGTCCCCACCAGTGTTCTGAGAATGCTGCGTCAGTAGCTGC